TAGAAAAACAAGTAAAGATAATCAATCCAAATAAATAAATGGAATTTCGAAACGAACCCTTTATTTGAAGCACAACTGGCCTAGTAGATAAATACTTTGGTTAGATCCATTGACTATACCTAAAGAATTGTGAGTTCAATACCAGGCCACGGCAGTGGTGAACCAAAACTTGCAGAGTTGAGTTAAAGGGAAATAACCGAGACATCCAAAGAGGCATGACACGTGGAGCTAGAACAATCTACCCTGGTGGACGAAATAAAAGGTTCGATTCGAAATTCCAGTCACCTGAAGAAGGCCGGAGCATACAACGGCCGAAACGTTGTGAATATGGCAATGAAGATGAGGATAAATGTCCAAATAATGTAAATAATGCAAGTAGCTCACAAGAAAATTAAATTTCGACATTAAATGACCCATAAGGAGTTGATATGCCGTTAAACAAACAAACTGACACTCATTCTATACGTTTAAATTATTTACTAGTTTCTTAAAGAAGCTATTTATTTATCAACTATAAAAAAAATTATGTAGGAAATTCACAAAGTATATAACTTATTTAGCATTTTTTTAAATTACCTCTCCATCCCATTTTTTTTCTTAGGAAAGAGAAGAGAATTCATACAATGAATTTTCCAAGGGTATTAGCATGTAAGTGAATGCAATGGATCCGAATATATACATAATTTTTTGCCTTGATAAAGTCCCTCAGAAGACGCAACACGTCGGCTAAGAATAATTTTTACTCTTGTCTTTTATTCATCAGTCGAGTTTCCATCCTGGCTTGAGGCAATCGGATATCTAGCCACAGTGATGAGCTGTGATACAGCGAAACAGCCTGTCGTCTGTAGATGACAATATATATATATATATATATATATATATATATATATATATATATATATATATATATATGTGTGTGTGTGTGTGTGTGTGTGTGTGTGTGGATTTGTGTATGTTGTGTCTAGTTCTTCCTTCCTTTCTCCACTTCCCTTATTTTTCCTTTTTTCTTTGTTCCCTTGAAAAATCACTTCCTTCTCTTGTCCGGTGAATAAGAGGCCATCGCTAATACTATCGCACCTCCTAGAGACATATAGCTCTCTCCTTCTCTTCCTACTTTTTGGAACTATCTTAAAAGACAACTTCTGTTAATTTTGTTTTTCGTTTTACGTTCTGGTAGAATTTTTGAATTCATTCATTGTTTTGAAACCGCTAGGTCTGACGAAGCGATTTCGAATTCTCGATTTTGCGAAAATAAAATATTACCATGGCTTTCTGAAGTTTCGAATTTGTTAATAATAATAATAATAATAATAATATATATATATATATATATATATATATATATATATATATATATATATTTTGGGAGAACAATATATAATTTTTTATATATCAAGAACAGTTTTGGAGGAAAGATGTATGACAAAGTAGAAAAAGTTTTCGTGTGATACGTTTCGTCCTTTGGGACATCATCGGACTAAGTTTGTTTAAGTTGATGCGACTACGCATGCGCACGAATAAGAGACGCTGTGAACTTTTAATTTAGAATTTTTTTCTTATTGATTCCATCTTCTTTGTTATTAAATATTCCACATTGTGTTAACAGAATATACGCCAAAATGGTGAAACAGTGTAAGAATCTGAACGTAAATTTGAATGAACGAGCGATTAAATCACTTTCTAAACATTTTCCGTCTTAGTGAATTATTTTCTCTTTTAACTCGTGTAGGATATTTTTAAAATCTAAAAAATTCTGGCTTTAAATAACCTGCAAAGTGTTGATAAACCATATAATCGAATCAATCAAAATCGTTCTTAGGCTATTTTCAGAACTGGTAACCTTTGTCAATAGTTTGTTAGAATTTGTTTTTCTTCCAGTAGGTTTAGTCGAAATTCATTATTGAATCGACTATGAAATATTCTTATTTCTATAATTATTCAGTTCCTTCAGATTTGGTAACTTTTGTCATGCGATTCTTGCTATAATCTGTTACCAGTAGCTTTAATCAAAATTCTTTATTTACTCGACTAAAAAATATTGTCAAACATGGACTTTTGAGCCGGAAAAAAAAAAACGGAATGTTATAAGAAGATGTTTTTTTTCCCTTGACACCGCTATTATTTTAACTACCTTCACTCCTCGGCAATATTTATTGCTTTAAAAAGCGATGATTATAATTGTAATTGATTATAATTGCAATAATAGTTGATGTATAATTATATAAAATCTAAACATCTCAAAGTGAATTTAGACATTTTCTTTACACAAAAACAATAAACACGATTTATTTATTATATTTTCTATTGAAATGGTTAGCAAAACATCAGCTAATTTCCAATTAATTCTTTAACTTGATAAAATGGTAAATAATAAGGATTTTCTTTTCCTCACATAATTTAATAATATAATAAATGTTTATGAATAAAAAATTATTTTTATAAAATGCTTATTATTTATAAAATTGTTATTATATTTCTTTATAAATTAGTAAATGATAAACATTGCAATTCATTAGTTTTAATTGTATTAGTTTTCGAATGTTGTAAATATAAGATTCTTCTTGTAAACAAACAATCTAAGAAGTTAATAGTGATTAAGATTTTAGTTGTAAATTCTCATGAGCAAAAAAAAAAAAAAAATATATATAAATTCACTTTCATCGTATGTTTAAGTTTTATTACAATTATAAGCGTCGCTTTTTATGAACATTGCCGAGGAGCCAGTTATGTGCCATGCGTGATTCACGCCTAGACGATCATGTATCTTTCGATACATGACTGACGAGGCAGATTTTTTTCCCGCAATAGGTTGCCATTTCTTTCTGCTGTAGACCAGTTGCCATCCAAGGCTCTAGAACCCGGTCTGTCCTGCTAAACCATAGCTGGGGGGAGAATAAGAGGATTCATACCTTTCCTAAGGGACAGTCACTTATGTGCCATGCGTGATACACGCTTAGGCGATCATTTATCTTTTGACACATGACTGACGAGAAAGATTTTTTTACCCGCAGTAGGTTGCCATTTCTTTCTGTAGTAGACCAGTTCTCATCCAAGGCTATAGAACTCGGTCTGTCCTGCTATTTACCCATAGCTGGCGGGGCGGAGGGGGAGTAGAAGAGGATTCATACCTTTCCCTAAGGTTATTAGCACGTAATGAATCCAACCTCGGCTTTCCGATTCCTCAATCCGAGCCGCTATCCATTACTCCACCGTGCCGAGGAATAGTTAAAATAAAAGCGGTGTTATGGGGAAAATCGTCCTTTTAACATTGCCCTTTTTTGCGAACACGAAAGCCCATGTCGAAACATTCTTATGTCTTCAGTGCCGTTACTTTCTTTGACTATTTTCACAAATAGTAACTTTATTCGGGTGCTTATTACAATTGTCTTTCTTCCAAGAGGTTTACTTGAAATTCTTTACAGAATCGAATAAATAATATACCGATTTCTTTAACTTCCCCGCCCTTTCTTATTCTTAGGGTATATTTACGAGGACTGGTAACCTTTGTTATCATGATTCTCCTTTAAGTGTAGCCTAAATGTGGCACAAGGCCGGACCTATGGGGCACCTAACTCACTACCCAGTCGAAATTGTTCTAGCGAGACAAGCTTGCTAACCATTACACCACGTCGAAACGCCATTGGTAAGCATTGTCCTGGTAATTTCCCAAGCGTAGCTTAGGTGTGGCACAAGGCCGAAAGTGTGGAGCACCCAGTGAGGAACAAACTCGCTATTTAGTCGTAATTAATCTAGCGAGACAAGTGGCTAACCATTACACCATATCGAGGTGACCCTGGTAACCTTTGTGATGGTGATTTCCCAAGCGTAGCTTAGGTGTACCACAAGGCCGAAAGTATGAGGCACCTAGTGGGGATCAAACACACTACTCAGTCGTCGTTACCGTAACAGGACAAGCTTGGTAACCATTACACTAAGTCGAAGTGCCTCTGGAAACCTTGTCATGGTGATTTACTAAGCATAGCTTAGATGTGGCACAAGGCCGAATGCATGGAGCACCTAGTGAAGATCGAACTCGCTATTCAGTCGTAATTGATTTAGCGAGACAAGCTTTACACTACGTTAAAGTGCCCTTGATAACCTTTGTCATATGCTGGTTAAAATTATTTCTTCCCAGGAGCTTTAATCGAAATTCATTATTTAATCATCTAAGAAATATTCGTATATGTTTAATTCTTCAGTGTCGTCTTCTTAGCGTATTTATAGAAATAGTAACTTGCGTCATGTGCTTTTTTAAACAAATTTTAGAATTGTTTTAATTTCAGGAGTTTAATCAGTAATCAACAGTCATTATTTGATTAAAAATATTCTTATTTTATCAATTACCCTTCCCCACCTCCCGTTTTATTATTATGGTATTTTTAGAACTGGTCTTATTTATCAGGTGTCTGTTACATTTGTTTACCAGCATGAAATTTTGAACATACCAATCATTTTATCCACCAGGAAATATTTGTCTTTCTTTAGCTTCTACATCTGATGCCCTTCCTAAGGTGTTTTTAAATGATAGCTACAAGTAATCCAATAAAAAATGATTGACATTTTCTTTTGTTCATTTAACACTCCAATACATGAGAGATCAAAAGAAAGAGGAAATATTACTTTAGAGTAGCGAAATCACTAACTATTTCCCGGTGTGATTATTTGTCAACTCCATATTGATACCGTCTTCGTAGGAGCGGACATTAAGTGTCAGACGTTATGTCATATACATTAACTGAACATACACAACAATTGTTATCCGAACATCAATTACTTCCCTTTTCCGGCTTTCTGTTTTCTCCGCCGCTCTTCCTGCCTATTCGGTGTTGGGTTAACCATGTCTAATCAGCAATAATGTTTCATCTGACAAGTTCATTAACACCCCAACCTAACCTATCCTCAATTTTTTTCTATATATATATATGAGCAGAAATCCATTCTGAGTAAAGACAGACAGTTCTCCAACACAGCTAAGACTAAAGTTCTTTCTCTTAGTAAAGATGCGTGCCTTCTCAAGCTTCCTTGGCATATATCTCCTGTTGGTTGAATGTCTTTTCAGCCAGACGTTCTGTGCAGTATTTCGCCGAGTTATTTACGACATCAGCGATGGTGACAGCAGCTCTGTCGAAGGAAGCTCGGCTAGTTCGAAGTACAGCAAACCGTGTGGCCTGAAAGTGTCTTACAGTCGAAATTGCTACTTAGAACTTGTTCCCAATCACGGCTGGATCGAGAGATTATGTCCCGAAGGAACCTTGTTCAGCGAGAAAGACTGTGTCTGCTCCCTGTCACTTTCCGAAGAGTGGCTTAATAAAAGCGATCGAAATCAGTATAAAGACTATTTTCAAGAGTCTGGATCGAATTCTTGTAACCGGAAGCCATCATCTAGCGACGAAACCTATTTGCAGTTTATTGAGACCTATGGTTGGATAAAAAAATATTGCCCCAAAGGAACAACTTATATAGATGAGGACTGCGCATGCTCGCCTCTGGTTTCTTATGAAGACAGTGATGGGTGCGACAGCAGTGAAGAAAATTGTGTTATGCCAAACCCTACTCCCTGTCCGAAAAGAAAAAGCAATAATTCCAACTTTTATCTCCAGTTTATCGCTGGTAAAGGCTGGGTTAAGCGGCCTTGTCCGAAAGGAACTGTTTACAGTGCTAAAGACTGCGCATGCTCAGTTACAGTTTTCGATGAAATCTTTGATAGTAGTAGCAGCAGTAGTGAAAAAAAAGAGAAAATGAAAGAAGAAAGCTCAGAGGAAGCTAAATATATCCCTTGTACCAAAAAACGAAGCACTAATCCTAACTTTTATTTTCAACATATTGAAGGCATAGGTTGGTTTAGACAGCGTTGTCCTAAACGAACTGCCTACAGCCCCGTTGACTGCGCATGCACAATTGAGTTTTCTGAGGAATACAACAGCGCCAGTAGTAGCAGAAGTAGCGACGACAGCGACGATAGCGATGACAGCGACGACAGCGATGACAGCGACGATAGCGACGACAGTGATAACAGCAACGATAGCGATGACAGCGATAAGAGCGACGACAGCGATAAGAGCGACGACAGCGATAAGAGCGATGACAGCGATAAGAGCGATGACAGCGATAAGAGTGACGACAGCGATAAGAGCGACGACAGCGATGACAGCGATAAGAGCGACGACAGCGATGACAGCGATAAGAGCGACGACAGCGATAAGAGTGATGACAGCGATAAGAGCGATGATAGCGATAACAGCGATAAAAGTTCTTTAAGTATTGTAAGCGACGATAGCAGTGGTGAAGACAGTGACACTGACGGTTCTGTGCCTTGTACCAAAAGAGCTAGCTACGATCGAAAAGCTTACTTCCATTTCGTTAAAGGCAAGGGCTGGACCAAGGTGACCTGTGCTAAAGGAACCACTTTTAATACCAAAAACTGCTCGTGCAGTCCCCCTAAGTCAGACAGCAGTAGCAGTAGCAGTAGCAGTAGCAGTGAAGAAGATGATGCGTTACTTAACTGCCCGAGAAGAGCAGATGATGACAGCAGGTTTTATTTGCAGATGGTACAAGGCTATGGATGGTTGAGACGAGCCTGTACCAAAGGGAAAACTTTTAGCCAAGAAGATTGCAAATGTGTAATTTCATCATCAGAAGAAGACAGCAGCAGCAGCAGTAGCAGTAGCAGCAGCAGCAGTGACAGCACAGAGGATGACTTCCAAAAGGACAGCCAGGCCTCGTGTAGTCGAAAGCCCACATCTGATTCGGGAATTTACTTAAAATTGGTTTTGGGTAAAGGCTGGGTGCGAGAGAACTGTCCGGATCGTACGGTGTTTGACGATGAAAATTGTCGCTGTTCTTCTATTTTATCCGACGAGAGCAGCAGCAGCAGCAGCAGCGATTGAAAGCAAACAAGACAGTTTAGAAGCCGTACGTTGTGACGAAGATCAAAGCAATGGTACGAAAAACAATATGCAGTACTCTGAGGGACATGCGTGGAAAAGTAAACGCTGTCTTTGAAGATACTGTTTCAAGATTAAAAAAAAAATGAATTCGATAAAAGCGGAACGGACTATGAATTTGCTTGGATCTATTGTATTTAAAAAAAAAAAAAAAAAAAAACAGAATAGAGAGACAATTATGGATCTTTTATTATACAACCCAGGAATGCGGGGTATGTGTTTTCAGTTTTAAGAAAACTCAACCAGAAGCGCTCTTTGGGTAAGAACTGAAAAAATATATCCGCCAGTTGATTGTTTTTAAATGTAAATACTACTTTTTTTTTTACCTTTTCCTTTTTTTTTTTTTTTTTTTTTTTTTGAAATCTTTAGATGTTTTTAAAGAGTCATGTAATATTTTATATAATAAATATACGTATATTAAATATATCTTTTGATGTAAGTAGTTTTATTTTTCAATGATTGAAAAGATGTAAAAGTTTTTTGGAAAGATTTTATTAACCTTTCTCCCAAATCCTAGAAAATTATGTTATCGAAAATTTACGCACAATACCGTTTTATTTTAAAAGCACAGAATCGCTTTCTTCGGAAGCAACACGTGTTATTTTTTTTTTTTAAATTCTTCGCCATTTCCAAAAAGCTTTTCCTGACTTTCAAGATATTTCTATAGTAAAATCATATAAAATGCTATATGGTAAAACTGCTTGCAAATGCATTTGTTTGTATACTTGTGTGATTTTGTAAACATGTCTTTAATTGTTCCTGGTGGAGGCAACATCAAAGAAACAGGAAGTTGTATGCTTTATTTGCTTGGATTTGTATATACAGTGTAACCCGGATATAAGAGAGATTTCCTCTGGTCCCAAATTAGAGCCTGTGTTAATGTATATAAAATAGACCAAACCCGGATATAAGAGAAACCCGGATATAAGAGACTTCTCCAGTCCCGACAACTCTCTTATATCCGGGTTATACTGTATCAATCATATAATCTGTATTAATGGAGTCCCGTTCCATTTACAAGAATGAATGCGATAACAAAGGCTTCCCTTTCGCATGAGGGCGAACACGCGTTCCTCTTCTATGTACCATGTCCCTTCAGGATGTGGACGGTCATGGTTCTCCACAACTTCCTGTCCTTTATAATTATTAACATTGTTTGTCTTTTTGTTGTCTCTCTTAATCCCTGTTCTGCTAACAAATGACATAAGCACGTTCTTTTTTTTCTATGTGCCGGGTAATTTCATGATGTGGGCGATCATGGTTCTCCACAACATCCTGTCCTTTATAAAACTTAGCCATGTTTATCTCTTTCCTAGCTCTCCTAATCCCTGTTCTGTCAGCCATTTACAGAAGCTGGTTCTTTTAATGTGTGGAGTGTAATTTTATGACGTGGGCGATCATGACTCTCCACAACATCCTGTCCTTTATAAGTCTTAGCCATGTTTGTCTTTTTGTTAGGTCTCCTAATCCCCGTTCTAGGAACCGTTTACAAAAGCTTTTCTTCCATTTTTATGTGCCGGATAATTTAACAACGTGGGAGCTCATGGTCCTCCACAACTTCCTGTCTTTTATAACCTTTAGCCATGTTTGTCTTTTTGCTAGGTCTGCTAATCCCCATTCTGCGAACCATTCACAAACTCGTTTATCTTCTTTTCGTATGTGCCGTGCAAGTTAATGACGTGAACGATCATGGCTCTCCACAGCTTCCTGTCCCTTATAACACTACTTAGAAATGTTGTCTTTTTGCTAGCTCTCTTAATCCCTGTTGTGCCAACCATTTACATAAGACTTTTTTCTTTTTCTATGTGTCGTTTAATTTTATGACGTGGGCGATCATGGTTCTCCACAACATCCTGTCCTTTATAACCATTAGACATGTTTGTCTTATTGCTAGTTGTCCTAATCCCCGCTCAACGAACCATTTACAAAATCTCGTTATTCTTCTTTTTCTATGTGCCAGGCAATTTCATGATGTGGGTGATCATGGTCCTCCATAACTTCCTGTTCTTTATAACTCTTAGCAATGTTTGTATTTTTGCTGTCTCTCCTAATCCCTGTTCTGCTATTTACACAAGCTTGTTCTTCTTTTTATACGTGTCGGGTAATTTCATGACATGGGTGCTTGTGGTTCTCCACAACTTCCTGTCCTTTAGAACCATTAGCCATTCTTTTTCTTTTTGTTAGCTCTCCAAATCCTTGTTTTGCCAAATATTTACACAAGCCCGTATATGTTCTTTTTGTATGTACCGTGTAAGTTCATAACGTGGATGATCATGGTTCTCCACAACTTCCTGTCCGTTATATCTTTTAGCCACATTTGTCTTTTACCGATTTTTTCCTAAACCCTGTTCTGCTAATCAGTTACAAAAGCTGGGTCTTCTTCATTTTCTATGTAGCGCGTAATTTCATGATGTAGACGATCATAGTTCTCCACAGCTTCCTGTTCTTTTTTTTCCAATCTCTTCTAATTTAAGCGTGCTACTAGATTGGCGAATAGGTCTCAGCGTTTTGCTGTTGAACTAGTCAGGGGCAACCGTTTGTTCTATTCGAATAATTTTTTTCTCACACTTCTCGCCTGTTTGCCTTGTTTCCCTGCCCTCTATAACATTCAAAAAAAAGAAAAAATTAAATGCAACGTCAATCATCATTTTCTGTCTTCCTGAAGCCATCCTTTTGTCCTTTCTCCTCATTTCTCCCCACTAAAGTCTTCTCATTCTCTTTCACTCCCAGTAACCCCTTGCGTCTTAGTGGCATTATCGCCTTGCTTAGGGTAATCCTAATCTATCAGTAAGACTTGCATTAATTCCCGATCACTGACAATTCCTTTTTTCCTTGTTTATAATGCGGTAAAATCATCAGCCTGTTATTTACATTATACATATAATAGGCCTTTTCATTTGGAAACACATTAATATCTGTTCACTGACAGTCCTGTTTTTCTCATATGTAATGCGTTTCTATAGTAAAACCATTTGCAATGCCTTTACATTACATCATAGCTGTCTCTCTATCAATAATGAATGTATTATTTCCTGGTCACTAACAGACATATTTTCCTAATTTGCAATGTATTTCTTTGGTAAGAAATTTTAAACAGCATATAAAGTCGATTGTTTTTTTTCTTCTTCAATATTTCCAATCAATTTAAAGTGTTATCTACTGCTGATAAAGCAGAATGGTTTAGTGTGTAAATTATCTTTCAATCTCACTCTTGGTTCATCACGAGTATCATTGCCTGATTTTCCACTTAGAAAATTATTATCCGATATGCATCCGATATGCATATAATTCTGTCTGGCTTCTCCAAACTAGTTCCCCAAAAGGCATACAGACTTGATGGAGTCGCTTCAATTGTCCTAAAGTAATGGGCTCTTGAAATGGCTACTGTTCTCTCTAAACTCTAAAACATGTTGCTTCTTGCTTTTCAGTCTGTTGAAAATCCTCTTCTGTAGCTCTTGTTGTTTAAGAACCTTTTGATCCTTCAAATCATCGTCCTGTTAATCGTTTATCTCATTTTGGCAATGTACTAGAGACTCTAATCAACTCCAAACTGGTTAGGCATCTAACTTCAGTTGAACTTATACTTCATTTTTCATTGCCAGGTATCATTTTCTGAAATAAAAACTTCTGAAGAAGTTTATATAATAAATAGGCCGAAACGTTGTGCTAAGAACAAAACAACACAAAGAATTATGTCAATAATCTTTCCTTGATTTTGGATTGACCAAAAGTAACTTGCGTTGCTTATTTATAGCGATTGGGTACATTTCAAACTTGGAAAACTGGCGCAATATAATCTTTATGTTACCTGCATTATTTAATTTTATGTTGAAATGAGATAAACTGATATGATATCTCGGATTCAGCCACTTTCCCACAGCCGTCAGGTAGCTTTCTCTACATTTTCTATAAATATTTTCATGCTAATTGTTCTGATGAACTCTCCTCTATGCTACCTAGATTTTACAAATTTAAAAGTAGTACTAGATTGGCAGCTAGGTCTCACGATAGTACAGTTGATTTTTTTATATGTAGCCGTAAGTTCTATGCTAAATGTTTCTTCTCTTGCGTTTGTCGGGTTTTGAAACTCTCTTCCGGCTTCTTGACTCCCAATCAACTTTGATCTTTTAAATTTAAATGCAATGTCATTCGTCATCTTCTGTCTCCTTGAATCCTTTTTCTTTTATTGTCCTCTCTTTTATTGACTTTAAAAAATTCATTTCTCATTTATTTTTATAAAACTCAATAAACAAACCTTGTGTCTTAGTGGCTTTATCGCCTTGCTTAGGGTGAAATAATTAAAAACAATATCTGTAACATATAAAACATACTTTTAATATCTTTGGGAAGAGTCGTTAATATCTCAAGCTTTGCTTTGATAATTGAAATCTCTTGTTGTTACAAGAATATTTTGTTATATCCATTCTCGAGTGTTCCTCGTGTGCATAAATCGTAAAGAGAGGAATAATATATAAAAAAAAATAAAAGTCGTATTGAATGTCCACTCTTCTGGATCATTTCACATCAATGCGCGGATCCAGCAGGTCTCTCTCCCTTAGAAATTGTTTTTTTTCCGCATAACGACCTTCCTGATGTCAAACTTTAAATTTTCCAAAAAGTATTTCCAATCAATTTAAAGTGTTATCTACTGCTGATAAAGCAGAATGGTTTAGTGTGTAAATTATCTTTCAATCTCACTCTTGGCTCATCACGAGTATCATTACCTGATTTTCCACTTAGAACTGAATCTCTATTATCCGATATGCATATAATTCTGTCCATGGCTTCTCCAAATTAGTTCCACAAAAGGCATACAGACTTTAATATTTCCATTCAATTGTCCTTTAAAATAATGGGCTCTTGAAATGGCTACTGTTCTCTCTAAACTCTAAAACATGTTTTCTTTTTTTCAGTCTGTTGAAAATCCTCTTCTGTAGCTCTTG